TATTTCCTCCCAAAGCAGCTAAAAAAAGTTTCCCCAAACTAAATAGCTCTTTGTGGCCCAATTTAGAAAGCAGGGAAAATTAAGCTTGTATGTGCAATCATGCTTAGATACAAAATAAAGATACTTATTCAGGAAAATATTGTCATGTCTGGCAGAGAAGATGCTAGCAGGGTAAGGCCCAGCTCTGACCACGGGCTCTTGGAAACCTGACTCGCCCCCGCCCCATCCTTCCAGAGCTTTCCCCAGAGGTCTGTGCTCTTGCATTTCAGCAGGACTAACTTTCGAAATGAAATCTGTGATGCTCCACGCTGGAACTAGTAAAAGACAAGCACAAAGAAACTTTTCTCATAACACGGGGAGCAGTCACTCTCCCCCAACCCTTACCCGCAAAACAAGAGGAGAGTTAAGGGAAGCCAGTGAAAGGACTTGCAAGGCCAAGGTCACAGGCCCTTCCTTGACAATATGTGGTGCTTCTGATTCCATCTCGCCTGACCCTCTTTCTCCAGTGGAAAATGGAGCTGATATAACTTTGACAAGAATAGAGAGTTCTCTTGGTCTAACTAACTTGGTTTTATCATTTTTGTTTTCAATGGGAGGTCATGATGTGAATGTAAGGATTTTAATTTGCAGTGCTAATTGAGACAGCCGTAATTAAAGGTTCTGCTCTACCGAGCAGGTGAGTCCAGCCTTGGAAATTCAGATCCGAAAGAATCTTGAGTTTCTGCGAAGGTTCTCTGTGGAGGCTTTGGGGTGGGAGGCATCCCTGAAGGATCGGCGAGGGTGCTCTGGACGCTAGGGCATCCCCCTGGGGCCTGGTTGGAGCAAACCTCTGAAAAACAACGCAGACGAGAAACACCACTGCCCCACTCCCAGTGTCTGAACCGAACCAGCGATCCTGGCAGCACTGTGGCTGGGCGGGTCGGCAAGGCTGGCCCTCCCTCTCTCTCCTATTCGCCCTCTTTGCCTATCGGCCTATCAGCAGCATGCCCTCTGTCTGGATCTAGAAACTGCAGGCAGCCCTCAGCATGCTGCAAGCAGCAGGGTCGGGGCCAAGCTGACTGTGGGCAGAATTGGGCTGCCCCTTACCCCCTCCTCTCTGCTCACTTAAAGTCATCCTGGGGTCCGTTTGTTACTCAGCATCCACGCAGGGCTGAGGCAGCTCCCACAGGGCTCCTAGGACTTCTGCCGTCCGTGTTTGGAGGGAGCAGCAGCCAACATTCTGCCCTGCCTACTGGTCAGGGACGCTCAGGAACCTGTGGCCTGGCTTAGCTGCTTTGCTCCTTTCTGGGGTCACCAACCTGTATCTGCCGCTTGGCTTCTCCTCAGCCACCTGGCAAATGTCCTCCCTGACGCCCCCTCCACCCAGAGAGTGCTCCCCTGCCCCTCCTCTGCACGTTACCACCCAGCTCTGGGAGCTGGAGAGGAACCGGGCACTGAGGCAGTCCAAACCCACTCCACTGGGTTACCGGTATTCTAAGGTTCAGGAACTTTCTTGAAATAGCGGCAGCCAACATTGATGGAGCATTATTGTTTATCGTGTACCAGGCCCTGTGCCAAGCATTTTCACCTCATCTCATTTAATCCTCCCAGCAAGCTAATTAGATAGATGGAGAGGCTGAGGCCTGGAGAGGGTAAACCTGGTCTCAAGCCCAGCCCCAGGGCCCACACCCTGCCAAGGCCCTGGTGTCCTCTGCCCTGTGCTGTCTCCCTTCAGGCCCTGGGTGCTGGGAGTGCTACACTTCGGAGGGCTCAGTTTGCCAGGAACAAGAGGGACCCACGGGTGAGGGCAGCAAGAGGGCTTCCCCAAGGCCCCACTTCAGACGGAGCTGCCCAGATCCTCATCACAGGCCCAGATCCCCGTCACAGGCCCAGATCCCCGTCACAGGCCCAGATCCCCCTCACAGGCCCAGATCCCCCTCACAGGCCCAGATCCCCCTCACAGGCCCAGATCCCCGTCACAGGCCCAGATCCCCGTCACAGGCCCAGATCCCCGTCACAGGCCCAGATCCTCATCACAGGCCCAGATCCCCGTCACAGGCCCAGATCCCCGTCACAGACGCAGATCCCTGTCACAGGCCAAGATCCTCGAGGAGGCAGGAGGGCAAGCTGTCGATTCGCCCACCATCTCCACAATCGCTGAGAGTTCACTGCTGCCTAAGCTGAGGAGATGCCAGGCTTATTGGTAAAGGCAGAAAGTGGGGCAAACCCAGGAGGGGCCTAGCCCAGCCTTCCCCAAGGCAGGCTTGAGTCCCCTAGTCGGCCCTCTCCAAATCTGTCCAAACAGTATCGTGCGCCTCTTTGGTCTGTCTCTCCATAGCTGCCCCCTTGCCCCTGTGCTGGGCCTGCTTCGAGGATCAGATTGCAGGCGTTTTTCTTCTTATTCCAACTGGCCAGCCTCCACATCCCTCCTCCCCTTGATGCTGCACTCCCAGCTCTGCAAAGGCTCCTCCAAGGGCGCCGCCTCCTGCTACCCCAACTCCTCTAGAGCGCAACTGCCATCTCCCTGAGCGACCCGTCGTCACCTTTGAGTAAATGTAAGCTCCAGCCGCCAGGGGCCGATGGTAAACTTGAAGTCCTAAGGGTCCTAATGCTGATTTCTGCACCGCCCTAAGCCATCTCCAGTAGTCTTCAGGGAGAAGGGGCTTTAAATTACGGAAACAAAATTCATTTTGCCTCACGTTGATTAAAGACACACAGTTGTCACCCAGCCTTGGGAGTAGGGTGGGGAATACAGTGAGGAGATTTGGAGTCACTAAAATCCACCACACCAGGGCTGGGGGAGTCTTGACTCCAAAAAGAGTCCCTCCCTTGATCATTTCAGGTCCACACCCCTTACCTATAATTTCAAATCAAAAAGCTCGCGAGAAGGAGGGCTGGAGCTGTGGATGTGCCCGGCTTGGAGGCCTGCTCAGTGCATTTTGAAAGTCTATTTTATCTTTGTAAATTTGGTGTCAAAATTTATTAAGGGGGAAATTTTGACCTGGAGTTAGTTAAATATTCATATTTCTCAGCAAAAATAATGAAATGCTGCTCCAGACTCCACCACAGGGTTGTGTGATATTTGCTATATGCAGGATATTGCTTTTCTAAAGTCCCAAATGCTCTGAATTTGGAAACACATCTGACCCCTAGGGATTCAGATCCCAGATGGGAGCCTGCACCAGCCCTGACTGAGCACGCTGTGTGTGCTGGCAGGCTTCTGAGCAATTTCGATTGAGCGTCTCCTTGTCTTCCAATGCCCTAAGACATGGGGACAATCCCTTTGCCCAGGTGCAGCTGAGGCTTAGAGGGGTTAAGTAACATTGCTCCCATAACATGACCCAGTCAGTGTTGGTGCCTGGACTGGAACCCCAGCTCTGCCTGCCTCTAGTTCCCTTGCTTAAACTGCCACGCCGAACCGCTGCCCTGACGCCAGATGGCACTTGCCTTCTACCTTCACTGCGAGCAAATGGCCCACCGCAACTGGATGGTTCCCTTAACCGGTAGAGTGAAATTCCCCAAGCTGAGAAATACTAGTCTGTGAGTAAGTATGAACTCCTATAGACAGCTGGGTTTGGCATTGCTGCTTACTCAAAAGTTGGTTCCTCATCTTACATTTAGAAACTACTCCTTAAAAAAACTAAGATCTGGATTAAAATGAATGCCCAGTCTTTCTATGGTCACCACTACCATCCATGGACGGGCAACGAGCTCATCAATGACACACAGGAGATACTGAGTGTTTTCTGAGGCTCAGCTTGGCCATCTATAAAACTTGCCAAGTTCACCTTCTTGGAAGCAAGGAGCATGCACTTCTTCAACACTGGGGCTGCTGTCTGTCCTTCCGCCGGTGACCCAGCTATTGCCTCAAACACTCGCCTCTTCCCTTCTTTTCTCTCCTCTGGAAGAGTGACCAGGGCTGAGTTCTTAGGCCTTCAGGGGAATGGGGAAAGGCCATGAGAAGGAGGGCTGGAGTTGTGGATGTGCCCGGCTTGGAGGCCTGCTCAGTGCATTTTGGCTAGAATGCCACGGACAGAATAGCGTGCTGGGGAGAGGGCTGGAGCAAGACTGAGAGAGCTCCAGAAAGAAGAGAGGGGAAATCCCAGCCAGCCAGGCAAAACGGCTGTTTTCTCTTTTTCACCAGGCCTGGAGGTGTTGAGGCAGGGCAGAGCCAAGAACAGGAAGAGCCCACAGGCTAGTAGGCCCCAGGACTCCTGTCAATCTCATGGCGCAAATGGGGTCTGGAGGGAGCACTGCTCATACTCTGTCCTGACACAGCGCCAGTTCTGAAAGCTACATCTTAGCTCCCAAAAACAGATGTGGAGGCCCAGCCAGGGCCAGGAGTGAGAGTCACAGTGAGAGCAAAGCGTCGATGGCAGGCCAGGCGCTGTTCGAAGTGCTGTAGATGTGTTAACGCATTTAACCCTCCAACAATCCGCCCCCCTCCCCCATTTTGTAGAAGAGGCAATAGTTAGGAGGTTAGGGCAGGAATGGAAGGTTCTGGAGGCAGTGCCCCATGCGTGCGGTTACAAGTGTGGGCTCTGTAGCCCCACTCCCTGCTCTGGGCCTGATTTGCTGTGTGGCTGTGGGCAACTCTGGCGACTTCTCTCTGCCTCAGTCTTCTCAGCTTTAAAGGGAATGATAACAGCCTCTACCTCTGAGGATTAACATGAGGAAAGGCAGGTGAAGTACTGAGTTGCATGCCTGGCCCATGGGCACTGGCCAGCACCGGCTGGGAAGGCAGCCCTTGGTAGCAATAGCATCGCATCTGGGGAGCCCAGCCTCTGGGCTCTGCTGGTGGGGGTCACCTGAGCGCTTCCTAGCCTCAGGGAGCTGGGCCACTTGGTCCTTCTCCTGAACACTTTCTCCAACTCTACCTAGGTAATCGGTTGGCTATGATTTTCACGACCCCAATCATTTAAGAATTCTCCCTCTGAGCCAGCTGATCTGGCTCTGAGATGACGCAGTCAGGCTACAGATGTAGCCCATTGAAGAAAACAGAACAAAACAAAAAGGCTCACAATGTTGGATGGTGACACGTCTCCAGGCTGAGGATCTTGCCTGCTAGGGTAAGAGTTGCAGTGCTGATGCTGGCGCTCCCCTGAGCCAGCCGCAGAAGTCCACGAAAACAGATGGCAACAGGCCTATAACAAAACCAAACCAAAGTGCTCCTGAACTGCAGACAAAGGCCTGCTGCTCGCCCTGGCCACCCCTGCGGGAGCTCTGCTTGCTGTGGGCATCCATCAAAGGACCAATTCCCTGGTGCGGAGCACTCTGCTTGGTTACGTCTCATGAGATCTAGATGAAAAAGACACAGTCCCTATCCTCCAGGGCTGCCATGGTCACGCTCATCCAAGGCCCTCAGAAAAGAGGTCAGCCCCAACAGTGCCTCCTCTGGGCCAGGTCCCTAGCTGGTTTCCAGCCATCTCCTTGGCTGCTCTACAGAAGAGGGAGGCAGAGTGGGAGATGGAAGCACCCAGGACAGTCAGGGAAAGGCTTCCTGGAGGAGACGGTGCCTGAGCCTCAGAAGCTATAAGAGTGGGACAGGAGAGGAAAGGTGACAAGGAAAGGCTGGGCACAGGGAATGGCAGGAGTCAAAGCCGAGAATGCAGAGAAGGCCAGAAACTGCAAGCACTTCGGAGTTCTAGAAATGAAGTGCCTGATGGACCCTGAGTCTAAGGAGGCAGATGGAGCCAGGTTATGGGCCTCCAGAAACTTCTGAGCAAGTGTGAAATGTGATCAGGTCTCTGCTATAGCAAGGTAATGCTTAGAGTAATAGATGGTTTATGGGGGGGAAACCGTTTTAAGAGTCAATAGTATGAGTTTGGACAAAGAATCAAGAAGGCCTGAACTTGGGCAGGGATGAGAGTAATGGAAAGGAGGGTCCTTGATAGACAGTATTCTGGGTAGGCAGACATCTGACATGGCCCCCGGGGATTCCTGTCTCTGGTATTCACACCTTCACGCAATCCCCTCCTGGCAGTCGCATCTTTACGCTTGTGTCTAATGAACAGAATACAGTGAAAATGATGGGATGTCACTTTCAAGACTAGGTTATAAAGACTGTGACTTCTGACTTGCTGGCATAGCCCCTGCCTCTTTTGCTGGCATATTTTCTCTTGCTCACTCGGATAAAGCTGGCTGCCATGTTGCAAGATGCTCTATGAAGAGGCCCATACGGCCAGAAGGCCTCTGGCCAACAGCTCATGAGGAACTGCGGCTTCAGTCCAACAACCTGCAAGGAACTGCTTTCTGCCAACAACCAGGAGAGTGAGCTTGGAAGCGGCTCCTTCCCGGTTGAGCCTTGAGATGACTGCAGACTTATGAGAGATGAAGAGCCAGAAGACCCAGCTCAGCTGTGCCAGGATTTCTGACCCCCAGAGACCGTGAGGTAATACAGGTGTGTGTTCTGGGGTAATTCGTTACGTGGCAGTAGAGAACTAATATAGGCAGGGCTCAGGACAACGGAGAGTGGGGCCTGCGAGAGACACCACTCGGAGAGTCAGCGGAATCCAGTGATTGATGAGACTGTAGGAGATGCCACAGAGGGAAAAGACACGGTAATTCTGAGAAGAGCGCAGCCTCTGGAGCAAGACTGCCTGGCTTCAAGCTCCTGCTCTGCCCCTGGCTAACTGTGTGACTCTGGGCAAGTCATTTCAACTCTCTGAGCCTCAGGTTGTTCGTTTGTAAAATGGAGATGGTAAGCGTTAACTACTTTACAAGTATCTGTCCTTTGCATTTAGGACCTGCCTCCGCATCCAGCACAGTGGTGAATGGCACACTGGAACTGCTCAGCAGAAGTTTGCTGTGGCATTTCTAGAAGGCTCAGTGTGCAGCCCTATGCCAGCAGGGCCAAGACTGAAATGCTTCAGTGCAATTCCTTGCATCCCCCGAGCCTTCGCTAGTCCTGAGTGAGGGACGACAGCCCAGTGCAGGGGAGGCGGTCCTGTGCCACTCTGCCTTGTCCCCCCGGCAGCACCTGGCGGGTGCAGTTTCCCCAGGGAAGTTCAGTGACCGACGTGGACATTGCAACCATAACCTCAGTCTCATTAGTACGCTGCTTTGACCACACAGAATTAGCTGGCTTAAATAGACTTTTCCAGAGTCAAGTCCAGTCTCAGAGAGGACTCCAGCCTGGATTTGCCTCCAAAGCCGGGTATCAATAGCACGAGGCACGGTTCTTATATCCGAAACAAAGGAAACCACCAGCTATGAGACTGTCTTACCTGTCTGGGCAGAGAAGGCATGGAGTCCGAGGCTCCTGATCGCGGAAAGCGCTGGGGCTGCTGCATCATCTGCTGCAGGAGGAACGCAGAGTGGTCGGGCTGCTGCGGCGGCAGCTGCAAGCTGGTGGTGGCGGTGGAGGAGGCAGTGGCAGAAGAGGCCTGTGCTGGCGTCGGCTGCTGCAGGTAGTGGAGCAGGGAAGGCTGCCTAGAGGTGGCAGGCATGGAGGGCAGTTTCTGGGGGCCAGGCTCAGCAATGAAATGTGACAAAGGCTTGGTGTTGCCAAAACTAAATGGCTCCGGGGCTCCCGGGCTGGGGCTGGCCAGCCCCTGATGCATGATCATGCTCAGAGTTTTGGGTGAGTTGGTGACCATGGGCTTGAAGACGGCATTTGCTTGCTGCTGCTGCTGCTGCTGCTGCTGCTGCTGCTGCTGCTGGCTGAGTGGGTTACTGGCGGGCGTGAGGCTCCGGAGCAGGGAGCACTGTGGCGTGAAAGACTGCTGTGGCAAGCCTGGGCTGGACAGCTTCTCCGGGCGGTAAGGGGGGGACGGCCCAGGGTTGCTGGTGGGCAGAGCAGACATCAGGTGTCCTTGAGGATTTTTAATGGTAGAGGACACCAGGTTGGCAAGAATGGAGTTCTGCGGGCTGAACTGTGGCTGCTGACTGAGAGCTGGGCTGGGGAGCTTCTCGGGAGCATAGGGCATGGCGGGCCCAAGGGCAGCACTGCTGCCAGACACCATGCTCGAGAGCAAGGCATTGGGAGAGCCTTGGAGAGTGCTCCCTGGCAGGTTGCTGGACGACATGCAGGATACCATGAGGCTCTGAGGGCTGAATGGTGGCGGCGGGTGTGGCGATGGCACTGGGCGGTAAGGTGGGGAGAGGCCTGTAGGAGGCAGGCCAGACCAACTGGGAGTGGGCCCTGGCTGCTTTGTAGCAGATCCCTGCTTGCTGGCCGCCAACACCTTCAGCTGGTGGGCATGATGCCACTGAGGCACCGGAAGTGGGGGCAAAGCGACAGGGAGCATCGCCTGGACCTGGTTCTTGGCCTGTGCTGTGGAAGAACTAGGTGAGACGAGCTGCTTACTGGTGGAGGGAATCGCATAGCTGACCCCTGCAGAGGAGGGCGGGATTTGAAGTGACACGCCAGGGACCTGGCTGCAACTGGAAGCAAACTCTTTGCCGGAAGCAAGGCTCTCCAAGTGCGGCATCTGAGCCGAAGGCTTGGGAGCTGTGCCGAGGCCCGCCTGAGGGTGATCCAAGACCAGCGGTTCTTCCGGCTTGCTCCCCAGTATCTTCTCAAGATCGAGCTCACTCGGAGAAGGTTCCTGAATTTTTGTTAGCTCCTCCAGCAGATCTTGAAGTTCCTGGTCCACAGCTGGCATGCTGTTGGTTTTGTCATAGTAAGGGACAGTGGGCCCTTTTAGCCCCAATTCTGCAGTCGGTGGTACCACAAACGGTGTGCCCATCACGTTGCCGTTCACGGGATTATTCTCGATTAGTAACGGATGGCCAGCTACTCCCATAGCTGCAGGGCTAGGGTTCACTGGTAACGGAGCGACCTGCAGCTCTGCACACGGTGTGCTGGGGTGGGCACCAGGGCCCATAGAAAGGGTGACGTCCTCAAGGCAAGGCCTCTTGATTTTATTAGGGTAACCCCCGTCAGCCATGCCTGGAAACTGGAAGTTGTCTCCTTCCTGTCTCCTCTTAAGGGTTCCCTGTGGCTGAAAGGGGATTGGGTGGGGGGGGGGGGCGGAGAGAGAGAGGAAATTTTATAAAGATTCTGAACATTAGAGCTAATGAACAGAAAACTTGCAAGATCAACCAATCTCTCAATTTCAAGATTTAAAGTTGTCAAAACTATACAATACAGCCTATTTTTAGAACCATAATGCTTGTTTCTTTGTTGCAGCATTTCATTTAAATGGTCTTATTACACTTCAAATAAGGCATTAGGCTGTCTGCATACTAAACATGACAGAAAGGATGTGCTCTGCCCGCTTAAAGGAGAGTTCAGTGAAGCTACACAGAAGCCACTAAATGCACTGTGCTGCCAAAGGTAGGCATTTGAGAACAAACTAGAAGTAGCTAAGATATTTTCAATTCTGAACTATCTACAGATACCCCAATTTTTAAAAAGAGAAAGCGTAGCACAGGCATTGAACTTTTAGGTCGCCTGTCCTGGTTCGATGCCTCAGGCTGCGGTGATGAGCCTTCAGAGGCACGGGGGAGGCCTGGCTGTGTCCTGGTGGGCAGCTGGCTGAGCTGCACTCCTTACAGGGGAACGCCAGTTGCAGAACAGTCATCGTAGCATGGCTCCACTTACTCTGACACGCTCGAGCACACACAAGTCACTTGGAAGAACAAATATACAACCGTTTGGAGTAGTCATCTCATGGGATGACTGGCAAGCCCCTTTCTGTTCTCAATATTTTTGTGTTGCTTGTTTGTTTTTAATGAGAATGACTTATAATCTTATAAAATAAGAAACGCGCCTCTGCAGATGCATCCTCAGGTTGGGGAGATAGGAAACAACAGGAAAAGGCCCCAGTCTGCGATCTGCACCTTGGGGGAGCTGCCCACCACTTATAAAAGCAAAGCCTTTGGGGACAAGGCAAAGAAGTTAGTAACACGGTATTTCCTACTCTTTCAAGGCTTCACACAGTCCTCCGTGGCTGTCATGTTAATGACCACGACCTACAAGTAAAGGAGAAAGGCACTGGAGTGAAGGAATGTTGTGTGGGAAGAGAGGGCTTGGAAATCAGCTAAACGCCAACAGTCTAAGAGATGCGTTTCTCTCCAGGTGCTTTCTCAGGTGAGAACCCCCCTTTTAGCTTTGGAAGTAGTACTGAGACATTCAGTGCTGGTCCTCTGATGTCCTCTCACATTTGGCCCACTGGGGTTTCAGCGCACGTGTGGAGGCCGCCTGCTAGCACAACGGTGCTCAGGACTCTTGCGGCAGAGTGAACATCAAAAGAGGTGCCCCGGGGCCGCACAGCCTAGGCCTTGTTGCACATCAGAATCACTTAGAAACAGCCGGATTCCCAGGCTCTCCCACCACAAATGGATTGCTTCAGTCTCATCTAGGGTGGGGCCCGGGCGGCCGAGTGTTTTCAAAGCTCCCTGGCTGATTCTAAATGGACAGCCAGCTTGAGAAGCACTGGCCCAGAGCCTGGGCGGAGGCAGTGTGGCATAGGGCCCTGGTCCCCAGGTGGACACAACTAGGTCTTGGCCTTGCCACTTAACCTCTCTGAGCCCCAGTTTCTTCATGTGTAAAATGAGTCTAATTTTAGATGTCATCTCATGATGCTGCTCTGACTCGTAAGCGAGATGGGGCAGATCCTGTGGCACCTGGTAGGTCCTCACTAACTGGTAACTGGCATTACAAAGGGCGGGTCCTGAAGGGTCCTGGGAGTCCAATCCTGTCCTATGAAACACGGGGAGCCTGAGACCCACGCAGGAGGCAGGGCTTGCCCAGGCTGGCTCAGCTGGAGGGCCCCAGGGCCCAGGCAGCTGCAGGGCTCCTCCACCGCCACTCCGCTGCCTCCCACCCACTGCCTTCACCCAGCCTGGTTGCAGGACACGGTCTCGTCTCCGCACAAGGGGCTCCACTACTCTGAGAGAGGGGACTTGCCTACTTCTTTGCCTTTTCTTTTGAGATGTCTATGACCTGATCAAGGGCACTCTGAGGGACAACTCTGCCACCAAATTCATCTGAGGGCTGAATACCACGGGGCAGGCATGGTGGGCTGGGGAAGGGTCGAGCAGGCACAAGAGGAGGCCTATCCTGTCATGCGTGCCCACTCTCCCACCCAGGAGTACTGCCTGGATTTGGCCGACAGCAGGTGCTCCAGAATCAGCAGCTAAATGAATCAGCGGACAAGGGAACACAAATGACCCAGCACACTGGGAGCTCTGCCACCTACTCTCCTGGCCATTCCCTCAATTATGGGGCAGCCCACAAACAAGTCATTGGGTCCCCTACTGAAATTTGGTCTCTTCTATATCCTCCCAGAGTTCAAAGAAATCCAGCATATTGAAAACAGAAACGTGGGAAATGGATTGATAGGAATGACTGGGTGTGGGGTTTATGTAGGATCCCCTGCAGGGAATCCGAGCTGGCAATGGTTGGGCCCAATGTGTTGTCCGCGATGTCTTGGACTGCAAGGCAATGATAGTGAAGTCTGTGCGGCACCAGGCGGGGGATGGATGTGGTTGGGGGATGGGAAGCCAGGGAGGGCAGGGCCTGAGAGCTGCAGGGGCCTGGAATCCCTGGCTGATTCTGTGGGCTCTCCCTTTCATTTAATTGTTGGTCTGCCATTAACCTGTTGGGACTAAGGCGGTGGGAGGAGGGGAAGGCGCAGTGTGACCAGAGGCAAAGGAGAGGAGTCTCCAGCTCTCCGAAACGAGAACGTGGGTGCACACAACTTCTCAGGCCCCCGTCAAGCGCACCCATGACATGCTCCCCACTCAATTCCAATTCTGGAATCCACCGGCTCCTCAGTAACAACGCGGATCCCAGGACACCCCTGTGGGAGGTTGATGACCGTCCCACTGTTGGTGGATCTGACTTACTGGAGCGGGTGACACCCTTGCTGTGCTAAGTCTACAGCTGGACGCGGCTGGTGCTCGCCTTACTGAATGCTCTGGGAAGATGCCTAATCAGGGGGCAGGCTCGCCCTGCTGCCCCTGCGGGTGCAGCGTGTCGGGGGCGGGGTGCTGGTACAGGCTGCAATTTCAGCAGAGGGGCAGGTGGGAGCATCTTCTGAGCTTTCGTTTTTCAAGGGACTTCAAGGAGACTCCACTCTCTTAGAAGGCCGCAGCACCGCCTTTGGGATTTTGCTGTGAGAGCTTTCAATAGTTAGCCCAAAGCACCCTGGCTAAACGGCCAGAACTCCAGCCAAGCCTAACCAAGGCCGCGGGAAGGCGGCTGTGTTTACAGGAAGCGCTCAGCCTCACCCTAACAGCATCTGCTTTCACCAGGCAGCAGTGAGGTGGAGGGATCTATTATTCAGTTAATTTTGCCCCTAGATACAGGCCCGCCTCAGTGCTTCCTCTTGCCCAGTCCCATAATTTGTTACTCATCTCAATTTCGAGAGGATGGCTGGGCTTTCCCCCATGCCCAGTGCCACACTGGTGCCTTCACCAGGTCACCTGGGCCAGTGGGCGCTGCTGCTGAGGTCTGCCTGCCTGGGCTAGATGCTGCTGACTGAATCCCACGACCACCATTTCAGACCAAGTGCAGCAGACAGCTTGCTACTCCAGAGTGATTTCCTCTGTCAATGTTGGGGGTGGCAGGCCACCCACCGAACTTCCAGACCCTTCTAAACCAACTTTCCAGCTTCCCGCATGTGCCATTTCCCAGTCTCTGTTGACTCTGTGACGGCAAGCTATTGGTCCCAGCTACCAGCCAGCCCCCACTTCCTCTAGGCCGTGTATTGCACATGATCCTGTCCACTCACTGAGGTTTTTCTTTTTTTATCATAAGTGAATCAGTAGACACTGGCAGGATTTCTAGAGAACACATCCCAACCTTTTTTTTTTTTTTACAGAAAACAGAATGGGATGTGATTTGCTTGTGGTCACACAGCTAGTTAGGGGATGATGACAACACTAGACCCCAGGCATCCCAATTCCCAGCCTGGCCTTTGGTGGTGGTGATGCGGAGGAGTGGATGGGAGAGGAAGTGAGGGGCAGTCTCCTGGAGTCTGAGAAAGGACTGACTTTAGCTCCCTCCTCAAATGCCTGCAGAGTCCCATGTCATAATGAGGCGACAGAGCCACCAATGGGATCCCCACGACCTCATAAACATTCATTCACACGCATTGCAAAGCATGTGAAGGCCTCCCCATCCCCCAAATAATGAGAAAACAAAGGCCACCCTTCCGACAGGGGCCAAGCTCAGCTCTGAAGTCAACATTATTTCTGGTTCTGTCTGAACAATGACATATGGCAATTCTTCCCTTTCTACATTTTTTAGTGCAGAATGGCAAGAAGGGGAAAGATTTCTTGGAAAAGGTCTAGATTGTAAGAGCGCAGTCCAGGCCCATAAAATGGGCACAAGGAGAATAAAGAATATACCTTGCAAATATATTGCTCTTTCCAAAGAGGCATGGCCGGCTGTTATGGACACTTCATTTTGGACACTCTAGCTGGAGGTTTACCACGGACACCAAGGAAAGGCCAGCAAAAATATGCGCAGTTCCTACTGGACAAGAACGTGGGGGGCTGAAGGTATCCAGGAAAGATCAGCTCACGGAGCCTCATTTTCCCTCCAGAGGACACTGGGCCCTGGGAAAAACTGTGAGAAGGGTGGAAATCGCCCAGGGCTTATCTAGTCTCTCCTCTCTCCCTCACTACTGCCTCCTCCAGTGCAGCTCACGCCAGCCCGCCTGCTGCTTCCCTTCGTCTCTCACAAGAACACCCGTACTCCAGCAACGACTTCCTTCAATACTGTTACAGGTTCCCCCTATGAGTTTCCAAGAACCTGATGCTAGCCAACTAGACTGGCTTTCAAGCGCTCTGAGATAAGAGTGGTCCCCAGTAGACTTGCTCAGAAGAAAAGAAAGCAGACATGGTGGGGCATGGTGGAGGTAGCCCCAGAACAGATAGGACAATGATGCTACAGGACTGGGTTTGCAGGAAGGGAGGGAGGGAGAGAGGGACGGAGGGAGGGAGAGAGAAAGAGAATATACGTGGATATATACATGGGCTCAGATGTGCA